ATAATCTTTTTCTCTTCATCTATGAAAGTGGCGTGGAGGAGCATTTAACAAATTCAAAGTTGTGTAATTAATTTGTCATTAGCTAAATGACAAAACAGTTAGCCAACTCAAATTACAATCAAAGAAAATTTCTCCTTTAAAATCTCTTTTGGTCGTAAGTGTAGATTGTGAGAAAGATTTGTGAAATTCTTCTCCACTTAAATGTTCAAAGTGTATTTTATTTGACACCAAAAATTAATATAAAATTAATTTTAAATCAAATAAAAATACCCATATCATTTTTTAAACAAGTATACAAATATACTTTAAATAGTTTATGTCAAAATAATTATTTTCATAATTAAAATGACAAACCAAAATAAAATATTCAACATATAATATATATATATATATATATATATATATATATATATATATATATATATATATATATATATATATATATCACCGAATGTTTTACATATATATAATATTATATTCCAAAATATTTTATTTTACTATTTTACAAATATACAAATTGTAACACCCCAATCCGTATAACCCGGAATTACACGAATTAAGGTGAAACGAGAGTTAAATAAAAATTTCGCTTGGCATTTGAAAACGATAATTACTTATAAATATTAAATTTACAGACTCTGGATCGCGACCCATTTAAAAAATATATTTTCAGAGTAATGCGGAAGTACAATAATAATTAAATCATGACACATTTAAATTCTTTGATGATCAAACATTTGCCTGCCATCCTTGCATCTCCTCTGACTCAATGCCCTCCGGGAGTGGTTCCGTCATTGTCCTCTTGTTACCTACGTGTAGTCAACGAAAAATACAAACTACACGCTCAGCGAAACTGCTGAGTGGTACCACGCTAGAATTGTAGAACAATTCATAGACATATACATATACATATATAGATACGTCCACAAAATGTATAATAATATTCATGATATGGCACATTATATCGTATGTTCAATTTGATGATTTATGATGGTGGACATTTGATGATGATTAGCTGATGTTTAATCAATATAATTATTCTTGATGATGATTACATGACACCTATGTAATCAATATAATTGTTCTTGATGATGATTACATGACACTTATGTAATCAATATAATTGTTCTTGATGATGATTACATGACACCTATGTAATCAATGTACTTGATGATGATAACGTGATTTCACATTTAATCAATTTGATTGTTCTTGATGATGATTACATGACACCTATGTAATCAATGTACTAGATGATGATAACATGATGCATGAACCTAAACGTGCAAGGACGACCCTTGCGCTATGAGATTCGCCCAGGTTGTACGACGAACTCACGCCACCTTAGTCTCACGAATGAGGTGAGACTAGAAAAATGGGGGTGGTACTCGAAAGCCTGAATACCATGTACGTACACTAAGCCCGGAACGGGTGATGTCGGACTGCTGAGTCCCGCACATCACGCTATAAGAGACGCAATTGCGCTTGATCTCTTACGCATGCATATGATATGATATGCTACAATATGTGTGATGATATGAGTCATATGATATGAACAATTTGTAAACAATATGAATGAATAAATATACTTTATTTTATTTGGGTGAAATCTGATAAAAATATCATTTAATTAAGTTACGGGGCTCGGAACGGTCGACCGTTTAGCACGGCGGTCGACTATGCTATATTTCAACTCGTCGGATTTCTAGATCACCATGACGGTCGACCGCGGTTGACCGTTGTTGACTGGCTGGAAGTGATGGCTCTCGGCTGAACAGGCGGCGGTCGACCGTTCGCCATCGGCGGTTGACCGTTCTGCTGACAGTCGTGGTCCGTTTCGAGGTTTTAACACGACGGTCGACCGTTTGCGTCGACCGTTTGGGTCTGCGAGTCTTACTCTTGATATTTTAGGTGTCTAAAATACTTCTTTAAGTCTTTTAAACACCTTTGATTAACATATACATATTGTTGGGTTGATTTCCAAGGTTTATATATACTTATGTGTATATTAACTTTACGAATTTGGTGTATTTTGATCTCAACATATAGATAACTTATATATGCATCACATATATATTTTGGAATGGTTTTAACATATGAAATAACATATATGTTCATGTATGTATGTGATGAATGATTCGACAAGTCTAACGCAAAGGTACAGACCTAGAAATCATCGGCCGAAACCTTACGGATGAACGGGAGTGGAAACAACATCGAAATTCACCAACTTTGTTATTTCCGTCACAATTGGACAGCCTGCGGTATTTTGAGCATAGCTCCATCGTTTCTTCATGGAATCACAAACCATTTGATTATGTGGATTCCTAAGACGTAAGGCTACAACTTTCGTGAAGAAACCATGTTAAAATAATGAGTTTAAAGTGGTCAAATATAGCTCACAAGTGGACTCATAGTTGCTGCCAGGATTTTGGATGTTCCAACGAACAACGATTCCGACGATTATCTCATTAACTTTAATATTCTAACGCCGAACCTTCTCTATGATACCTTCCGAATGTTCCTAATAAGTGTTAGAGAGTTTATGGTAAGTTCTTGGAATGAAACAATATGAATTTGGTGAAGAAAATGGTCCAACCCGAGGAGCTCGCCACCACTGGCGCAGTCCCGGTATTTTGGCCATATCTTCTTCGTTACTTAACGAAATCACGAGCCGTTTGTTGGGCTGGATTTGTATCATCTGGGGCTACAACGTTGGTTCAGAAAGTATTTCGAGATAATGTATGGAAAATTTCAGTTTTTACCTAGAAGTGGGCTGCTGTGTTTGAACTCGGGATTTTAGAAACATTAGCTACTTTCTTCTTGCTCCTTCTTCTTCCTTAACATGAAATCATGGAGTTGGAATCTCCTTTTTCCTTCCTTGGTGCCTGACCGACAGAGAGAGAGAGGTGAAGAGGAGAGATGATGGATGGATGATTGGTGATGATGTTTGATGATGAATATGTGGTGGAGAAAATGGAATAAAGGTGGGAGTATTATATAGGAAGGGTTGGTTTATAGTGTTAGTGGAGTGGAGTGGGGTAGATAAGGAGAAAAGGTCTCGTGATTGAAGGAGTTTTGAAGATTTTAAAATATTCTCCTACTCCGTAACTGATAAACTGGCTAAAAACGGTACGCGCTTTTTCGCCTAAATTGTTCCGAATTGAAAACGGATTGTGTTTTTGGAAACAGACTGTCAAAACTAGAATTTTAACGTAATCAAAATATTTTTCTGAGAACTTTTATTTTTCTCAGTGTTCGGGTCTGTCTCATTCATAAATTAATTCAATAATATAAATGATATAAAAATATATGAATTTAATTCAAAAGATAAATATGGTGTTGTCAAATGTCAAATATTTAGATTTCTAATCTTAAGAAATCTCTTTTGAATTGAGTTTATTTTATGAGTCAAAGTTACAATTTTTAATATTTAAAATTGTCATAGTTTGTAATTTATAAATGAGATTGATTCATAAAATGTACCGTTGCAATCGTCTCTTCGGGACATATCCATAAAAATAAGTTTTTAACAAAAAGTCATTATTTTGAAAATCCATTTATTTTTGGTCAAACGTATAAATATTCCTTATTGGACAAAAACTACTTTTGTTTTATAATAAATTTTAGGCCATATTTTGTGGCGTTACACAAATTACTTATTATCTCATTGTTTAATCCTACTCCTTAAATTGTTCAAAGTGTGTGACCCGTATAGGCACTTATAAAGCTGGCCACAGTATTGGCTCTGCACCAATACTATAAGCAATAAGCGGTATCTAGCAACACATTATTGCCCCCAGATTATAAGTTAAGACGTTTGCACCGTCAAAACCTTTCCACGACTCAGACTCCGTATAACTGTATCCCTTTGTCTCAATGCCTAAACTTAATGCAAGGGATTAATAAAATCCAACTTGTATCCATTAAGTCATTCACTGATTTATCAAGTCTGATAGGAACAGACGTCATAAAAACATCTCAGCATGACCATGCAATTTTCTCAATCATAACTTATCAGTGGGCCCCATAAGACATTAATCTCTTAAAAAGAGTAGTGACAAATCCTATGTACGTAATCTACGTTTCTGAATATGCGCTGCGGCATACCCAAAACAAAGCCTGTATACCATCCTTATTTCATATGGCTTAGGACAATGCACCAAAGTATGCGGGTTCACATATGCAGAAAACGTAATACTTCAAGTCGAAGGATAGTTACACTCGTGGTCGCGCTAAAGATATTTAGAGCATGAACTAAAAATTCAAGCAACATCTTTAGGATGGGTCACTCCGGCATCCTATTATCTCTAGATAATATCTACCCATGTGCGGATGCGAACACACTGTCATTGACTATGAGACTAAGTCAAACATCCAACACACACTAGTCTCACATGCATTAAAGATATCCCACTCTCGTTAATACTCGACTATGGACATTCAGATAAATATTTATTTCAAGATGTTAGTCTCATGAGCAGAATAACACTATCTGATAAACATCTTTAAATATAAATCTAGGAATATAATATTTGTTTACATTAGCATGAGATGTGTAAACATATTATATCTGCCTATAGATGATAGAATAATGATAAATTGGCCATCAGGGCACAACTCCAACAATCTCCCACTTGCACTATGGCCAATCTGGCATCGGTTGAATGCCCATGGACCTAGTGTGACCCTCATGCTTTAGCTTTCCTAAAGTCTTGGTCAAGGGATCGGCTATGTTGTCGTCAGTATCTACTTTGCAAATCATCACATCTCCTCTATCTACGATTTCTCGTATGATGTGATAGCGTCGTACAATGTGTTTGGTTTTCTGGTGAGATCGCGGTTCCTTTGCCTGTGCAATGGCCCCAGTGTTGTCGCAAAACAACGAGATAGGGTCATTAATACTAGGAACCACTCCAAGTTCAGTAATGAACTTCTTGATCCNCAATATTAGACCACTAGGTAGAGATAAACTATAGGTTCCGACGGCCAATGCATAGACGAGTGCGCCATTGCCGACTTTTAGTTGTATCTCTCCCTCCGTCAATTGTCTACATTCATGCAAGTTTTGCATAGAAGTACAGATGTGAGAACCACATCCAGTATCCATCACCCAAGAGGTGATATCAGACATATTGACTTCGATAACGTAAATACCTGAGTTTTGGGGTTGACCCTGGTAAAGGTCTTTTAAGCATTGTATCATAGGACGCACTTCCATGTCCGCGTGGAGCCTTTGGAGCTCCGCGGTCATATTGGCCATAATGATACACTTTACATCTCGCGCGTCGTCCTCATACTTCTTGAAGGAAGTGAGTTCGGACGCACGAGCATTAGTATCAGGGGTCTTGGGAGGATCCGTTTCGAGGATGTAGAGTTTCCTCTCACAATTAAGAACGATTCGAAGGTTCATCTCCCAGTCAAGAAAATTGGTCTCGGATAACTTGTTGTTTTCCAGGATGTAACGCAGGTTGAAAGGGTTGTTGTTTTTTGCCATCTACAGAAAATTTTGCAAACTAGGTTATCTATCATGTTTAATAATTAATTAGGCCTTTAATTAATTATCTCCCACTATTTCTAACAAATCAATAACCCTCGATATTGATTCGGAGATTTCCGGCGAAACCTCTAGTGGGCCAAGATCCATATTTCATTATCTTGCGTTCCGCTTGGGCTTTACTCCACAAGAAAACTATTTAGGTAGGAACATAGTTCCAACTGATGAGCCGGGATCTCAGCTCTTGGTCTGGTGTTGGGCGAACAATATTACTACAATCGGACCAGGACACCTTTTCACCATACTTGTAATTGGCTGAGGCACGTCTTACAAGCAGACTACTTTGGTTAGGAACAGAGTTCCAATTAAATCATAAAGATCCAACTCCTGGCTGGATGAGTGAGTAAAATCATCCAACTTGTCATTGATGACCCCAACTTACTGCCTCTGAGTCGTCCATCCATTTGATCGAGACTCAGTTAAGTCTAACCCAACGTGCGACAGCGACCACGCTATGGCGGTTCCCGTAACCAGCTTAACATATACCATACTATGCTCTGCTGAGGCTGAGTACATGACAGTGCACATTAGTCGGATAGGTGCCGGGCGTCAGAAGGCAACATACTTAATATTCGTGAGGGATTTATAATTTCGATCTCACCTATCGACATGGTTGCGCACATGTCCATTACTAGCGTTCAACATACATTCACAAAACGCAGTAAATAAACGTGTAATGATTGTGGCCCCTAAAATAAAAATAAAACGATAGCTCCCACTGGCTTCCGGGCACTTGGACTTCGGGCTATCTCCATTCTTTTAGATTTCTTCAAACGGTCTTCAAATCTTTTCGTCTTTTAACCACCACGTGAGAAAAGAATCCTCGGTTGAGGTAAGAGAGAAATAGATTTACAACAAGAGTTTAAGAGATAAGGCACGACACGCAGGCCGTATTATAATCAAATAAACTATAGCCACAATCATCCACCATGCATATCATACATCCACACAAGCAATAGAGATATACATACACCGGGTGAACCGCGCTCACCCCAGATAGTTCTAGAAAAATACTACGGGAGTAAATATTTTCTAAAACTCATAAAATTAAATTAGATGTCCAAATAAATCTAATAAAATTTTATAAAATCATTTTATATACTCTAGATATTCTGCCAGCATAAAAACAATATCCAGAATATTCCAAATGACCAAAATGCCCTTTTTGCAAAATTATATTCAAAAAGGCCATTAAAATTCTGAAACAATTTTGCAAAAATCATGAAAATTAAATTTCAACTTCCAGTAGTTATTTTTAACATTTATAAACCTGGAAATAAAATTTCCAAAATTTATAAATCATTATTTCCAAAATATATTAGTTAAATCTCAATGAGTTATAAAAAGCCATTTAAATTGATTTCGAAAATATTAAATTCCAAAAATTTAATATTTTGAAAAACATTCTTTTTCTTACTGAGATATAACTTTCCAAAATATATATTAGTCATTTATGTAATTAAAATACAAATATATAAATATATATAATATTTCGGTAATAAAACCGAGTACATATATAAATATATATTTATTTAATTACTAACTAATATTATTTTGAACAATATATTTATCAACAACCTTATTCAACTTAGAAATAATATTTCCAAGTTTAATAAAGTTCATTTTGAATTTTCCCATATTTATTTTCGGTTTTCACCTAAATAAATACAATAAATTCAAAATAGGAAATAATACATTCAAAAATTACAATATAATTTTATCAATCATAAAATGATGTTTTATGTCCAAATAAAATTATATTTACTATTTCTACAATATATATAAATATATATTTCGAAAAATCAAAATATATATATTTATATATATA